AGTAACGGTTCCTCGTCGCCCCCTCCTCTCCCCCGCTCTCCCCAGGGGCACTATGAACGAGGAGCAGTTCGTGAGCATCGACCTGGACGATGACAACGTCTGCAGTGTCTGCAAGCTGGGGACCGAGAAAGAAACGCTCTCCTTCTGCCACGTTTGCTTCGAGCTGAACATTGAAGGTAGCGCTTTAACAGGAGTCATCTTGTGCGAGCTTCCTTCGTAGGCTCCTTGGGTTGGGAGCTGAAGGCAAATTGAGCTTCTCTGAAAGGCTTAGGTTTGAAAATGTGTGTGTTTAGAAAGTTCTCTTGCTGGCCAGACTAGTTTGTTAGGTTCCAAAATAGCTCATTTCCAGTAAAGGTAGGTGTCCTAGGTGCACTAGTGCCTGCTTCTCTAGAGATAAAGATGTAGTCCACCCCCTGTCCTCCTTTCAAGAGCCTCCTAAATGCCCTGGTGGTAATTTCACCTTCTGGTATTAGACCTCTGGTGTTAATTCAGCTCAGAAGGAGTTTATGTTCTGCCTTTAGTCAGGGTTTTTGTTCAGAAGTTAGAGGTATCTATGTATAAAACTTATTTAAATTGCAAGTTTTGAGGTGTAATAGGTTTTTTTGGAAGCAGATCAATGTTTGTTTCCCTTTCACTCAAAATAATCAGAGGATTGTTTATTTTTGGTTTCATAAGGCGATAATGCATGTAGTATGATAAAACTGGGTTCACTGTCAAAGCTTCTTAAAGTTTGCAAATTATAAAGTAGAAATTCTGTCCATCTTTTAAAAGACTAATCTTGTAATACCATTTTGACCTCCAGAATGGTATTTTTAGAATTTCAGACCTTGTTTGAATTTGCCCATCTTGTTGTTGTTCTTCATGTGTGTCAAGCGTTGGGCATGAATGAGCAGTAGATTAGTTATTTCCCTTTTTTAAGTCAAAGAAGGATTTTTTTTGAAGTATAACTATTGTTGCTTGAATCTTGGTGCTATGAAGTTATGTGTTCCTGTTACATAAAGTGCTATTTAACAGTTGTATGTGCATGTGACTACCTAGAGCAATTTGTATTGGTGTGGGGCAATTGAATGTGAAGATCTCAATGCTGTTATATGAATTGTCTCACTTCTTGATGAGAGTAAGATTTGCTGTCTCTTTGATATGTATGGGAGTACACTGAAGGTCTTCAGATCAAGTCTTTCTGAGAATAAAGTGCTGTGAGAGATGAGTACTGTACCGAGTGATCTAGCTGCTTATTCTGAACCCTGGAAGCAGAAAACTGACTGGAATGTAGGGAGCTGTAAGGATATATGGATATGTATTACATACATTGTTTCTGTTGTGCATCTGACTTTCAACGCACGTATAGGTAATAAAATCTTTTTCTTTCCTTACAGAAATCAGAAAAATGCGTTAGCAAATTGGGATCACTTTTAAATACTGACTCAGTACTGTGTTTTAATTTTTTAAAAAAGTTATGCTTTTAATGTTTTTGTTGCTATGTTAATCTGAACAATACTTTCATACTTGCGAAATAATTTACATGCTTTATCCTTTTACTTCGAAGAGACATGCTTGTGTATTTGCACTTTTTGATAAAACTCAGAGCAGCTATCTAACCTAAGACAACCTGTCAGTCTGCTTGAGTTTTCTTACTGCTTTATAATGATAGGCTTGTGGTTATCAATATGAAGCAGAGTTGTTTCTCTTTCTAGGCTTTAAACTGAGGAAAAAACCATATTGCTGTAATGAGAATTAATTACTTTGATTACACTCAATATCTAATTTTGTTTTGGAAGTGTTGAAACAAATAGAACAAGATGCATTAAAATTTATTGGATGGTTTCTACCTTCTGTTGTTTGAGATAAGCTAGGGATTTGTAAAGATACTTGTTATGGATATTACTTTACAAAAAGATCATGTGTCTTAGCTGGAACAGCTTTTTTTTTTTTCCCTGGCACTCTTAAGTAGACTAGATAATAGTAAAGACTTAATCTGTGCAGCAGACTACTTTGCATAATCTTCTAAATTTGCAGTCAATTTTAAAAGAAGACTACTTCAACTGAATACTGATGAAAGCTTACCTGAAACTACATGAACCATTATATTTGTCTTTTATTTTGCATAGTAAAAGAGAAGTATTAACATCTTTTATTATTATAGCATCAAAATACCTCAATTTCTGATATTTTCTGCATACAACTTTAAAAAGAGTTACTGCTTTTATAGGGGGAGGAGGCTTAAGGGTGGCAGAGGCTATGCAAGTGACTTTATAAAAAGAGCCTTTATGGGACTTTTTAGCTGAACCATTGCATAAGCCAGCCCTTTACCATATGCATGGTCACGCTCTTCACGCTTTTGACATATGTATTTTCCTGTGACAAAGACTATGATTTATACACATCTAAAATAGCAATCTTCTGGCAGCCCTGAATAGGGAATCAAATGGATAGTTCACTAATGCAGAATGTTTTACTAGATGTTTTTATACTGACCACCTGCTTATATTTTAGTGAAGTGCAGTGCATTATGACATAGCTGCTTGTTGAATAGAATCAACTGTAAGTTGTATCAGCTCTGCAGATGTGCTATCCCACACATACAAGTGAATGTCATTCTCACTAATAGTTAACATGATATTGAAAAATCCAAGTAATTAAAACATATATGTGTGTGTGTGTGTATTTAAGTAATTCAGGAAGTGAAGTATGCTATTCTAAAAAGATACTCATGCAACAGCTAGGATAGTGCTTAAGGCTCGCTCATTTTTAGCGTTGATGTGCATGTGTAACTTCAGTGAAGTAGGAAATAGCTGCTGCAGGCAGGCTATTAGTCACAACTCGGCATCTTGCAGGATGCTTAAGTACTCCCACTGTTTGCAGCACCCTGTTAAATTCCATGTGTTAAGAGCTATCTTATTTAAGAGGAATGTGTAGCACCTCCTGCGTCTTTCCTGACCATCCAGTCGTGACTAGGAGGTGGATCAGGATAGAAGGGCACATTGAAGATGCATGTGCAAAGGCAAGTGGTGGACTTGGTGGTGTCAGGTTTATGGTTGGACTTGGTAATCTTAAAGGGCTTTTACAACCTAAATCATTCCGTGAGTCTGTGTGAAATTCTGGAAGTAGGTTTCCCAATTTTTTGTTCTAAAAGAGTGTCATGTTCTAGTACAAAACTCATGAGAACAATTCTGTTTCCCTTCGTGCCAGCATCTGATTGCTTGAAGCTGTCTATGGTAAATCCATGCACTTGAAACTGATCTAGCCCCAGGCTTAACCACCTGAACTCCTTCTGAAACACATTATCAAATGTATATAAACAAAACACTCCAGAAATGTAATTTCCTTAGCTGCACTTAACTACTTTATAGTTTAGTATTGTGAATCTTTGTGTCTTTTGACATCTGTGAGTTCAACAGCTGTACAAGTTTGCTTGTCTGTAGATGGTAATGTTTTTGATCATCCTGGTTAACCAAGGTGAGTAATTAGAAATGAGCAAATTGGAGACCATCCTTGTCTGTCATGACTCAATAGACTTCTTCCTGGATCAGTGTTGTGATGTGTCTCACCCTTTACTTTCCTGCCATTTGTGTGTTTTTTGTAACCTTTATTATGTTTGGACAATAGCTTGATAATGATATTTAATTGAAAAAAAAATCAAGTTATTCTTACAGTCCTTTATAAAGAAGACTGCTATACAGAAAGCTTAATCTACAGCCTGCTTAACTAAATAACTGCTGAGTTTCTGAATTAGGAAGTTAGATATTGTGTCAAACTCTTTTTTTTTTAATCAGAAATTTGGTTTAAATCATAATTATTTTTAATAGTAGATTTTTAGTCTTTTCCTGAAATGAAATGGTAGCCTAAAATGTGATTTTTGCTTCTTGCTAAGTTCAGTTAATTCACAGAAACTGCTGGTTTGAGTGCAGTTTGGAGTTCAGCTGTGGTGTCCATCCCAGAATTTATTCAGGAGTGGTCTATATGGATTATAGGGTCTGTTTCTCTGGAGTTGACTGAAAGAGTGGTAGCAAAGGGAGGAGAAGAGGGAAAATGGGCATTCAGAATAAACAAAAAGCCAAGATGCATTTTTAAACTTTCTTGTATTGCCTGTCATCTACCTTTCTTGAACAGGGAAAGA